AGAAAACACAATTATTATTTATAATTGTAAATGTATATTGTATGTAGACATACATTTAGATGTACATTTAGATAAAAGAAAACCATTTTATTTTTAAATGATTTAGCTTTTGGGAGAAGGGTTGGGATTAAATATGTGTAAACGTATTCCCCTTTTCTGATGTGTAATTAGATATAACATTTGTTTATATATAATTTGTAAGTCAATAATATTTTTTTGTATCAATTTGATACTGCTTAAAAGGTGGGGCAGGTCATTTTGGAGAAACCGGCTCGAGTGTGCTAGAATTTGAAAATACACAGCAAGAAGAAATCTGCCCCTTCCTCACAGAGCCCCTCCTCCAAACACACACGAATGCGCACGTGACCAATGAGGGCACGAGATAAGTTTGTGCACGAGATGGAAGGCTGACAGGCAGGTAGGCCATCCAATCATTTTAGCCGGGCCGTGCTTTTTACAGAACTACGGCTTCCATCGATGAAATTTTTTAATGGATTTTTTGTCAAAGCACTTCAGATATTCATTGCTATCGGGATGTTAAGAGCATTCCATGGAATATAACAAAAAGTTTATCTCAAGCCGGTTTCTCAAACTTACCTACCCAACCTTTAAGTTTGTACAGTATCATACTTTTTGGGGTATTGTACTACATTACATGTCACTTGTTAGACGCTTTTATCCAAGCCTCAATACTGTGGGCAATCCCCAAAGGACATATTTGGGGTGAAGTGTCTTGCCCAGGGACACAAAAACATGCTGACTGCAGTGGGGTTTGAACCTATGACCCCCTGATCTGAACACCAAAGGACAACCCACTGCACCACACGCCTCCCTACTACTAGTCCAAATACCAGAGGTGCGAAGTAGTGGAGTACAAATACTTTGTTACTGTACTTTTTTTTCTGGTATCAGTACTTTACTCCACGACTTATTTTTCAGACGACTTTTTACTTCATAAATTTTGAACACAAATACCTGTACTTTCTACTTCTTACATNACGTGTTGATGTAGAAGAGACATGAAGAAGAGGGGACACATGTTGATGTAGAAGAGACATGAAGAAGAGGGGACACATGTTGATGTAGAAGAGACATGAAGAAGAGGGGACACATGTTGATGTAGAAGAGACATGAAGAAGAGGGGACACATGTTGATGTAGAAGAGACATGAAGAAGAGGGGACACATGTTGATGTAGAAGAGACATGGAGAAGAGGGGACACATGTTGATGTAGAAGAGACATGAAGAAGAGGGGACACATGTTGATGTAGAAGAGACATGGAGAAGAGGGGACACATGTTGATGTAGAAGAGACATGGAAAAGTGGATTTTGAATAATAGGTGACCTCTAATATAACATTTGTGGAGAAAAAAATCACAGACTATCATTTATTTTAAAATGAGTAAACAGTAATCACAGTTTGACATGGCTTCGATGTTTCACAGCTTAGAAAACTCACTTCCTGGATTTTGGTTTTATATCACAGTAAATATAAACGTTGAAATATAATTATAATATACATGCATTTTATCTTTGTAGTGCTTTTCAGAACCGATGTTATGAAGTGCTTCAGGATAAAAACAGCCAACTTTTTAATATGATCATCCTCAAATAATCAGTTTTAAAGGAACTCAGTTAAATATAGAAAGACAGAACCTGAGATATCAACAATACTTTGGATATAAAATCTTGATTTAAAAAGATACACAAATCAAAATAAATGAATTTTAAAATCAAGAATATGGCATCATTTTTCACATGATTGAAAATTGTGTATGAAAAAATAGCCGCCATGAGTAGAAACAGCACCACCATGTGGTCAAAACAGAGAACTCAACAGTGCTCTACTATCAATTGCACCAAAAATACAAAATCTAATTTTGCTTTTTATAATTTCACTGTTGAGACACCATTAAGACACAAAGTTTAAAGAGGCCCTGTTCTTCTTCTGTGGTGTTCCCTTTCGTGTAAAGCAGTGCTTCTCAAAGTGTGGTCCGCGGACCACTGGTGGTCCGTGAGCGTCCCCTGGCCTAGTGGTCCGTGAGTATATTGTTAAAATTTCACATTTGAAATAAATACATTAATTTAAGTTTTCCACACTCTCGCGCGAATATTTCCGCAATGGAGTGAGCTTAAGTTTCACCTTTGATTGCATGATATAGCCCAGCGCAACACCTTCATCACACATGTTGCCAGCTATTTGTACCATTTTCAAGCGATGTGTAATCTGTTCTAGAAAAACGATGTATTTTTGGATATTTGTGGAGTTACAGTAGGTGGTCCGCAAGTGATTTTTCATTGGTTAAGTGGTCCTTGGTATGAAAAGGTTTGAGAAACACCGGTGTAGAGTGTTCTATAGGTTTGAGTGCATGTCAATGGTCGACAAAGGCTACAATCCCTGTGTCCCTCCCGCCTAAAACGCCTCCTTTGTTTACTTCCTGAACACAGTGACATCACTCATTGTACGTTATAGGCTAAGGGGCGGGACGTCTTTAAGCGATTGACCAATCACAAGAAAAGCCGGCCAGCAGGAGTTTTTACCAGATGCACCTGACATGCAAAAATATTTGGATATTGTAAACCGCTTTCTTCTCATTTGGACGCTGTGTTGATTCCTATAACTTTCTGAGGATTTTCTTGTTTTTTCGTCTCCCCTCGTACCTACAGTACACAGAAACAGATTTTATTTTAATATGCATGTGGAGCATTCCATTTTAATATTTGCAAATAAAATATGTATAGAAATGTTACAATATTGTGTATGTGTTACATTTAGTCAATTAATAAGAAATCATGAATAAGTCCTAATTAAATTATACCATAAAAAGTGATCATGTTTTTTTTTACATTTTTGTGCTTTTAATCTATATTTTGTGACTTTACAGACCTTTCGATGTTTCTTCAGTCGTACAAGAAGGGTCAGTAATGTATACGTTGCCAAAACCAAAGTAAACACAGTATCCTGAAAGAGAAAGAGAAAAGATTATTAGTTTATCAGGACCCCAGTATAAAATAAGGAATTAAGGATGAATGTAAAATGTGTTGAATCTGAAAGTAGAATATATTTTACAGTCAAGGAGCCACTTTTATTTTAACTCACAGTATGACAGGACTGCTGCTCTGGCTATTCGTCTAGTAGAAAGAAAAAAATGTCTGGTTGATCCATTTTGTTTTTTATGTTAGTGAACGGTAACAGGATCTTTTGAGGGTGAACAAGGGATACAAAATGTAAATGTGGGCATTTAGGCAACATATACTTTGAAAACATTAAGATGTGGTGTATTGAGGGGATGGATTTATCTTGAATATCATTTTATTTTTTAACAAATACAATGTTGGAATAAAAATGTTATATTTAACAAAATCCATTTCATTTTTTTACTCACACTTTGATCCTTGGCCTGTTTGTCTTTATCAACCGCTGAAAAATAAATAAAGGTGATGTATTACTTGTATTTATAGTGAGAAATTGTGTATTTACAAATTATACATTTTATTTGACATTTGCATTATTATATTATATTTGTGTATTTACGCTAATTTATTTCTTGGTATAATCTTTTTTTTTTTATTGACGTTATTTTTTAGATATATTTTATTATATTTTTAATTTACAGAACTATTATATATTAACGTTGTGTTATTTTTGTGGTATTTTCCTTAATTTGTACTGTTTTGTTTTTAATAAGAAATTACATACTTATATGTTTTTGTTTAAATATTTTTGTGTTTAATTTACGCCATATTTTTTATATTTAATATTATATTTAAACGTAAATGTTCGTATTTTTATTTTAGGCTATTTTGTTTTTGATTAATAGTTTTGTGTTTTTAGAATTGATGTTATCCTTTTTAATCAAATGTTTTTGGTATTTAATATACGTTTTTGTTATTTTGTTCTACATGTGTCTTGATTACATTTTTTCTATAATTGTGTTTATTTGTTTATTATTTATTTATACAGTTTTTATTTATATACACGTCGAGCAATGAAAGCATGGCTTACCTTCATTAACGTTCAGTTTTATAGAGATGATTTCTTTGGGGTCTTCTCCAGTTGAAACAGAGCAGCTGTAATTCCCAGCATCAGATTCCTGCAGAGATTTGATTTTCACAGGAAGTTTCCCTGTCTTGAAATCCCAGCTGTCGCCTTTGGACGCTCGGCCTCTGAATTGTTTCCCCTGATCATCGAGGGAAAAGCCTTTGCTTTTGTAAACCAGGACATTGACTTCACCGTTGAATCTCCATTCGACTGTTTTGATAGAGACGATTAGATCAGATCCAACGTGGCAGTCCAGAGTCACGTCCTCTCCCACCGCTGCATCTTGGGTCTGTACTTTATCTGTAATGAGAAAAATCTGATATCTAGTAAACTAACATAAAGCCCAAACAGTTTTGACATATCTTTAAAAAAGAGACAAAATAAAACTACTAGGAGACAGAGTAAAACTACAAGGAGACATAAAACAACCATAGAAATATACAAAACGACAGCAAGGATACATCTAACAACCTGGAAGAGACTCAAATAGTCACACATGACAGCAAAGAGACACAAAAAAAAAAAATCTCTTGATTCCTGCACTGTAGAGAAAATGGCAAAACCATGATGTAAAAAAAGATATTAAAAAATAATATTTTTCTTGTTTTGTCTTACTTACCTCGAAACCCTTTTGGATCTCGCCCTATGGAGAAAATGGCAAAAAAAAAATGAAATTAAAAAACAGTACTGTTTATTTCTGCCACATTTCAGAAAGGATATGACTGAAGAGAAACATGAAATAATTATGGTATTTTATCCTATATTATTAACATGTGCACCAGGGTCGGTTTTTGGCATAGGCGGTTGCCTAGGGCGCCAGATCTGGGGTGGCGCTGCGCTGGTAGCTCTGGGAGGGAAAAAAAATGTTTGACTGTTTGGCTCATCCTAATTTTCAGCCTTGATGTAACAACATTCATAATTAAGTAAATGTAACACCCTTTTCATCCCGGTTACACT